AAATTAATGACACAAAAAGCTTTCATTCCTGTTACTAGAAAAATGATTATCATACAAAACCAAACACCAATTACCTACAACAGTTGACCCTTGAAGAACATGAGGGTTTGGGCTATGACCTTCCCTTCCATTACGGAATTGAAAATCTACATACAGTATTTGACTTCCCAAAACATAACTACTAGAAGCCTACTGTTGACTGGAAGCCTTACCAATAACATAAACAGTTGGTTAACATGTATTTTGTATGATGTTATTATATACTGTATTCTTACAACAAAGCCAAAAATATTACAAAAATCATAAAGAAAATACATTTATAGTACTGTAAAAAAAACTACATACAAGTGGATCCACGCAGTTCAAACCCACTGTTCAAGGGTCAACTGTAAATGGAAAATAATGTCAATACACTAAGATATGGACTGTAAGAAATGTAGTTTACCCAAGTCTAAAAGAATATGGATTTGAAGACCGGTGCAAAACTCTAATCTAAAATTTTAATAATGCATGTGTTTTTTCAATAGATTTCCAGTTACAGGATCAGGGATATAGTTTACTTATGCAATCCTGCCCAGTTCAAAAATTCCAAGTGGTTCCCAACTGCCACTTTTAGTCCACAATTCAAAATCTACACTATCTGGCCCACCCTTTTCTCTTTCACTTTAAAAATTTTTATCCTCCAAAACTACACAGCATCTTCCCTGCTTTCCCATTTTGATGCCTTTCTTTATTTCTTTTCAAAATGCTCTTTTAAATACAAATACTAAATGTTACCTAGGCCAAAAAGGCTTCCTTTTTTTTTTTATATAGCACCGGGTACTTTTTATAAAATAACTACTTTCTACAACCATTTACACAGTTCTCATAACCTATATTATCTTCCACATTGAAATATGGGCACTTACAGGTAGGACCTATTTTCAGTTAATCTTTTGTAGTTCTAGAGTACTTACTTCATGACTTTGCATATCATGAGCTCCAACATTATTTTTATTTACTGAGCTAATTATAGGTGCAAGACACCCAGTCAAGATACCTTCACATTTGTGCCCATGACTCTTACCTACTGCAGTTTAAGTATTATCACTTGACCTATGTGCTTCAGAAGCTACTGATGAAATTATACCTTGATTTCCTTCACTATTTCCAAATGTTCAATGATTCCACATTACATCAATAATCTTGACTTAAACCTAAATCTCATGTGCTATTACCAAGATTATAATAGGTTGCCTTTGTGTCTCAAGTAGCACTGTGAAAAATCATGACATCAGCTCTTGGGTAAAACCATTTTCTGGGAGTAAATTAACTAAAATATACAAAGTTTCAAAGAAAGACAGAAAGATGGTGGCTGAATAAGGGATCAGAAAAATATTCTCAGTTTTCAAAAGCTTGTGTTAACACCATTTCACTTTTACGAAAGACCCACACTGGTATCAGTTTTCACTAACTGAAGTAAATCTGAAGATTTTCTCTTATATAAAAAACAAACAAAAAAAAAGGATGAAAAACAGAAATACTGTACAGCATTTGTTTTGCAGAAAACCATTACAGAGGCGGTGTGCACCCCAAGCAGCGAGAGTACCACTGCCAAGCTGCTTCCCTGAACTAAACTCAGCATTTCACAGCTTTGGATTATGTCTGTAAACATCTGTACTTTATCTCAATTTATTTTGGACATCTATTAGCAAGATGTGTTTTAAGGTATCAGAAAAGCCAAAAAGAGGTTATTTTTGGGGTCTGGAAATGCTGAAAATTTTTCCATATAAGTAAATGGTAACTGCTTCTTTGCTTTAGACCCTCTTAGCTTATAAAGTTTTCATAGGTTTCAAATGTTTCTACTTTACAATAACTGGGAGTGGTGGAGATACACCTGTATTATTAAACTAAACAGAAAATGAGAGCAATATCCTTAAATAAAAAGTTTTTGCTATGGTAACATTCTGTTTGAGATCACCCAGGTATTGGCTTTGCAAAAATCAAACAGTACACTTATAAACCGTGCAGTTCTCTGTACGTATATTTCAACGTAATTTAAATGAAAGGGATTTATTATCCTTATTATTTCTTTCCTTCAGCACACTGTTTGGTTTCAGGCTCTATATTTTGCAAACCACTGAAAGACTGCTGTGCCACCATGTGATCAAAGACTGGAAAATTAGATTAATGAGCGTGAATTAAGAAATCCAAGCCAGAGTAAATCAAGAAGCAACATTATAATGCCATTTTTGTATCTGAAGAAATCTTTTTTTTTTTTTTTTTTTTTTTTTTTTAATTTTTTTTTCAACGTTTATTTATTTTTGGGACAGAGAGAGACAGAGCATGAATGGGGGAGGGGGCAGAGAGAGAGGGAGACACAGAATCGGAAACAGGCTCCAGGCTCTGAGCCATCAGCCCAGCGCCTGACGCGGGGCTCGAACTCACGGACTGTGAGATCGTGACCTGGCTGAAGTCGGACGCTTAACCGACTGCGCCACCCAGGCGCCCCTGTATCTGAAGAAATCTTAAGCAGAGAACAATTTGTTATCTTTACTGGATGAGCATCACCTAAAGGAGTCAAGGATAAGATTAGTTTACAGAGAGAAGTAGAAGGCTCTATCTCAATTTATTTTAAAATAGAATTAAGTTATCATTAATTATCATTTAAGTGTTATCACTAAAAATGTAGAAGCAATGTTTTTCATAGATCTCTTCTAAAACTGTAATTGTGCTTAATACATATAATTCACTTCTCCATTTGGAACTATCAGAACTTTGAACCTGTATTTGCCAACAGGGATAAATACAAGATGTTGTATCAAGGTGCACACACAATACATTATATTTTTTAATTTTTTAAAATGTTTATTTAGTTTTGAGAGAGAGAGAGAGAGCGAGCATGAACAGAGGAGGGAAAGAGAGAGAGGGAGACAAAGAATCTGAAGCAGGCTCCAGGCTCCTTGCTGTCAGCACAAAGCCCGACGTGGGGCTTGAACTCACAAGCCATGAGATCATGACTTGAGCCGGAGTTGGATGCTCAATCAACTGAGCCACCCAGGCGCCCCTGCACTATATATTTTTTATTCTTGATGAAAAGATGTAAGATATTCTCTACATTTAAAATTAAAAGAATATTTTTAAAAAGTTTTTTTTTAATGTTTTATTTGTGAGTGAGTGAGCACTTGCAGGGGTGGGGCAGAGAGAGAGGGAGACACAGAATTTGAAGAAGGCTCCAGGCTCTGAGCTGTCAGCACAGAGCTTGACATGGGGCTTGAACCCATGAACCGTGAGATCATGACCTCAGCTGAAGTCGGATACTTAACCAATAAACACAGGGGCCCCTAAAATTAAAACAATATTTCAAAAATAAAGAGTATTTTAAATTTCAGCTTAATACATTATTATGCTTAAGTTACATACATGCTGTACTATAATTTTTTATTCCACAAGTACCAAAAAGTTTTTCAAATCTTATTTTTATAAATTCCATCTGTGATTCTCAACCCAACACCCATAGTTTATAAAGAAGTATATCATTCTTTCATATACACAAATATCAAGATGAATATTCTCCAAATGCCAATATTCAGGAACAACCTGAAATATTTGTCCTAAGAAGCCATAGAATCCTGTTACCAACATACTTCAGTCCACTGTTAGGGCACCTGGATGGCTCAGCTGGTTGAGCATCCAACTTTTGATTTCGGTTCAGCTCATGATCTCAAAATTCATGAGATGGAGTCCTGCTATAAGCACAGAGCCTGCTTAGCATTCTCTCTCTGCCCCTTTCCTTGCTCCCATGCTCTCTCTCAAAATAACTAAACAAACACTTTAAAAAAAAAAAAAAGAAAAAGTACATCTGAAACTAATTTAACACTATGTTAACCACACTAGAACTAAAATAAAAGGACAAAGGGCACCTGGGTGGCTCAGGTGGTTAAACATCTGACTCTTGATTTTGGCTCAGGTCATGATTCCACAGTTTGTGAGATCAAGCCCCACACCAGGCTCTGTGCTGATAGGGTGGAGCCTGCTTGGGATTCTCTTTATCTCTCTCTGCCCCTCACCCTGTTGCATGCTAACCTGCACTCTCTCTCTCACTCTGAAAATAAAAGGAAAAAGTACCACATGCACTAGCAACGGTGAAGACAGCCAAAAAAATGATCTCGTGAAAGACTCCTCAATAAACCAATTAAAGACCATACAAAAATGGTTTCACCACAATGGCCCTAATGTTGGGGTATGTAGAGGATATCATTTAATAACCAGCTTTACAAACTGTCCCAAACCAACAAACATAAAAACACTACAATCTATTAAGAAAAATTATACACGTTTCACAGCAAACCTCAAATAACTACAGTATTCAGAAAATGGTTTAGAGTAGAAGTATTCTCTAACTATGATACCACTCTAAGCTGAGTCTTTGCAATTCTTTACAGTTTTGGGTGAAAATCATCTCCAAATACGTCATAACCCCCACTCTGCCTAAACCAAGGCTTTACAAACTGTGGTTCAGAGATTCATATGTCCTTTCATCTTTCCAAAAGGAAGACTCCTAGGTCCCACCTACAAATTCTGAGTCAGTGGGTATGGAAGGGTGAGGCCCGGCAATCCGCACATTTACGCTTGGTAATGCTTAAAGACCACTGACCCGAAGGGACGAAATTCTGAAAAATATGTGTGTTCCTGGTGATGCAGGGATCTCCATATGAACATCAACTCCTGCGCTATGCTGTAACAAACACCATGATCTCACAGGTCAGGGAAGTCTTCAAGGTAGTCGCCTTCATGTTATGCAGCTACATAACGCTCAGATTTTGAGTTCTTGCAAGCCTTCTTGTTCTCTACCTCCTTCCTCATCATCACCTGTCCTCTCTCCCTCGCCTGCATCGTCATCTGTTACAGGACAACCTTGTCCCTCTTGGAAACACGCCTAGACTAAGCATTAAAACAGCGCTAAGTAAACGCACGAGAAGCGTGATGGAGTGAACACCACGGACTTTCGGCAGTCTTTGTGACGGCTACCGCAGCTGCTCAGAGGCCTCTTTGGGTAAATTTCCTAATCCTACGCCACGCTCCCCGGTGTCTAGTACCTATCGGACGTTCATACACAGTTGCTCAATGAGGAGTGGACAGGTGCAGTACAATCACATAATGGCTTACCACGCGCAGTCTTGGAACTCTAGGAAAAACCCGAATGTCGTTGCTACTTACACTAACAAACTGAATGTCATCTTCATTTTCATCCGTTGTTGACTCAGATGCCTCGGGCCCAGCTGGAGGGACAGATTCTATTATCTATAAAAATAAGCCAAAACACGCTTATCTATACAGCCACGTACTTGGTGGAAGAGACTTTCCCAAAAGGAACGAAAAAGAAAGAGCTTTTTAAAACAACGAGCTCTTGAGGAAACCGAACAGCACAACTGCATGCAAATCCGACTAAGAACAGAACTCCATGGAGTCGCGTTCTGCCTCTGCAGACGCGGAGCCATGGGGAGCGGACGCCGAAAACGACTCCCCAGCCCCTGCGAATTCCCCTATCTGCTCGAGGCGGAGGGATGCGCGCTCACCGCCGAAGAGCGATCCTGTCTCAAAATGTCGCTCTCGC